TATTTCTTTCATAGTTTACAACTTAAACTCTCTGTTAGCAAATAAGCTTTGTTATCCTAACGACGTAGTGTTTAGGCATAATAATGTTTCCAACTTTTTGGTATTTTAAATGTTTTCCATGTATTGTGCAATGCATCAAGTCCAGATTTTTCCAGTTTGTATTTAAATAAATTATCAAATAATCGATGAGCTAATCCTACTAGGCAATGAAAAGGGTCTTGAGGCATTTGCAAATGACAATCATGAAAAAGATCATCCAAAATATTTAGAATGAGGCATATTCTGTGTTCTTGTGCAATGTGTTTCTTTGTTGTAATATTGTGTACATCTTTAATTTTGTCAAAAATCCTATCTGTCAAATGATGGTAATGACCGTTTTGAAATATATCAAAATCAACATCAAACAGTTGACTTTGAGGGACCTTGTAAATACAACATCCATATTCTGCATTTTGTCTTTTATGCTAGCCATATCATTACCCTGCGGGAGATCTGCTGTAACTATCTTAAATCCTGCTGATACCCATACTTGTTCATTTTTAATTGTCATAAGAATCCCACTTTGCAACTCTTTCATATCTGAAATGAATCCTTCTAATATATTGCTAAATTCTCTTTCAAATGGTACAAATGAAATAAGAAAATGATTTCTCAGATTTTTTCATAATTCACGTTTCATGTTACTGATTTGTATATAAATTCCTTCTAGTTTGTGATACGCCCTATTAAAAGCACCGAAATCGTCATCATATAAGTCTATAAAAAACTTGAGATGTTTCAAATTTTGATCTGGTGATGATTGAGATACATTTACATACTCCATGGGTAATTTATGTTGAAGAGAAACATGTCTAAGTTTTGGACGACCATTAAGCGTATATACAATCTCATGAATCGAAAAATCAAAGGCTAATGGACATGAAGTTTCACCATCATTGATCCAGACATTAATATGAAGAATTACGTCTTAGGTCTTAATTATGATTCTTGTTTCTTCTAATCATAATTCGTTATTCTTTACTTTTAACAGTATTGGGTAGTTCATTAAAGTTTCTTGTGGGTTGTATACGAAGTCAGCGTTCAGATAATATTTTATCCATTACTACCACCCAGTGATTTTACCCACGTGATAATTTTGATCTTGCGATTTCCTATATATTATCCAATATCTTGAGCTAAACGTGACTTTAATTCAATAATTTAAAATTTAATGTTTATTATTATATCTTACTAAAGACAATTAATTTACTGACCATTGTTTATTGTAATCACCGTTTTATCAAACAACGGAGATTCTTTCCATAAATCTCCATGTCATATTTCAATATTTTTTTCTTTATTGACACCAGGCCCAAAATACATTTTTGGCAATAACATTGGATTATTTATTATACGATGAATATGATCCTTAATTGAGAAGGTATATGCTTCTTTAAATAGTGAAGTTTTTGATGGAGTGTCTTTCAAATTAATTGGAATAAGCTTTCCTGTAATTAGTAGTAAAGGTAATCCATTGTGAATCTCTTTAAAAGTTGTTACACTATAGGGAACCTGATCTGCTTTAAATTTTGGATGACGTATAATTTTAACTAGTTCTTGATAAGCATTGGTACCTATGAAATAAAATTTCTTGTAAATTATGAATATTAATAAATAACAATTAAAATATTGAATATTACCTATATTATTTTTTATAAACTATATAAATATCCACATTGTTGTGAGGCTTGAAAAATAAGGACCACTATCACCTGTATATCCTGGTAATTTAGTATTAATATCATAATATCTTTTACTGTCATTTGTGTTTTGTGCAAAATTATTATCTTTATAAAAATATTTAACGTCATTACTATTAAATGAATTGATAGCTAATGAAGTTGGTTTTAACAGTAAAAAAGAAAAATCATCGTCAAAATTATAATTTTGTAAATTATTTATTATATCTTCTGACGTTTTGAAAGTTAGAATAATCAATATTGTTATTATCCGAAGTATTAAAGGTATTATATAATGTAGGTTGGTATATAGGTTATGAAGCTTTGTTAAATGAAGAAATGTATTTTGGGGTCGTATTTTTTCAGTTTTCAATAAAATCAATATTAGAAGTATTGGGAGTTGCAATAGTCCCTAAAGATGTTATAATTAATATAGATGAAAAAGGTCTTTCTCGTAAGGTTACATGGAACTTTTGCTTTTTTTGTATATTAATTAGCTTACGAAGAGTTGGATGTGTATGGTCAAAAGTAGCTTTTTTGGCATCATTGATTTTTAAGTTTTTTAAGAAAAAAAAATTAATTTAAAAAAAAAATCACTTAAAAAAATCTTAAAAAATCACTATTAAAAAGTAAAAAATCACTTTATTAAAAAATCTTAAAAAAATCACTTAAAAATTCTTAAAAAATCACTTTTTAACGTAACTAATCAATAATCAAAATCTTAAAAAAATCACTTTTTAATATAGCTAATCAATAATCATCACTGACATCACAATGTTATCGTTTTAATTAACATGAACATTCACATTAATTATTGAATTTAATTGTATAATATTATGTAATTGAAATTTAAGTATAAAAATGATTGATTTTTTTTTTCCTTATTCAAGTTTTTTTTTAAAAAAAACGTAAATATAAATTTTGATAATTAAATCATTTAATCTTTGTTAATTAAGGATGCCTCGAGAAAGAACCAAGAGACCTAATAATAGTCGAGCTAGAGGTGTTATGACCCATCAGTTTACAAGTTCTAGAAATGGCATGACTACTAGTCGTGCTCGAGATGGTATGACTCATCAAACTGCAAGATCTATAAAACAATCTGAGGATCATGAAAATGATATTTACGAAGACTATGATTACAAAGATTACATAGACGTTGATCAAGATAAAGATGTTCAGGAATCTTTCGATGAAACTTGTAATTGAGGTTCTCCTGTTAAAATTCGTGATCAAAATTCATCTGTTAAAATCTATGATCAAGATTCACTTAAAACTTCAAATGTAAATCGAATTCAATATATTCAAAATGATATCTCAGCTGTTACAATTTGTCAAACCATAAATCAAAGAATTTTACCTGCTGCAAATGTACAAGTAACCAATACTATACAAAAAAATACTCGAGGTTCTTTAAGTTTTCCTATTACAACCTATAGTAGAAATAGAAGTGTAGATAGTAATTGAGATCAAAGTTCTTCTGTTACGACTTATAGTAAAAGTTCTGGAAATCAAAGTGTAGATAATACTTGAGACATATGAGAATCTTCTTTTACGCATGATACAGAAGAATCTTCTTCTAAATATCATGATAAAAGATCTCATATCAATGATTTCAATAAGATATTATTTGAAGTTTTTAGTATTTAAAATCTATAATCATAAATAATAAAATAACAATCTATTACCTTGTCAATAATTACGTAAAAAAAACTGATAATTCAAATGATTTTATAGATGATTGCTCTGATATCCATCAAGATTCTAATAATTCTGTAAAGCAAAAATTTATTTACGCTACAAACCTTCAGAACAAAAAGAGTCATTAAGCGAGATCCAACCAGATTTAAACAAGCAAATTGTTCAAAAAGATAGTTCAATTAATTGTGTATGTATAGATTATTATTTACAGTTACTTTAATAACTATTATGTTTATTTATTGTATTTGCTTTTATTTATAGGTAACATTGGATATGTTGGCGATTCTAGTCAATGAAGCAAAGATTTTATTTTTGAGATCACATGATCTTTCAACTGTTGCGTACAATACATTGTTAAAATCAATAGCTCTAGGATTTTCTGAAAATAGTAAAATGATATCCTTTCTCAAAATGAAATTAAGTTCATATTTTGCAGATCACCAATCCTGTTTAAACACTAAAGCTAGGGTCTATGCTGAAGATTACATTAATAATAACGAGTAATCTTGTATCTGAATCTTTTATTTTTATTCTTATAGTTAATTAACTATTTATTTTATTTTAGTACTACCATCAATAATTTACCAAGTGTTGAAGATTTGGCTTCATACGTAGATGATACTGTCATTTTTCAATGTATTAAGAATCTGATGGCTCAAATTACTGAAGAATGGTGGGAGGATGATACTGATAGTGTGGATGTTTTTAGATTTTTCATCGCAACAATTATAAGAATTCATATTATTAACGTTTTAAAATGCAATGATGATTCTCACCTTACTAATACATCAGCATTAAACGAGATCAAGACGCTTAATTATATAACCTGCGAACTTCATCTTCCTCATAATAATTCTACAAATTATGCAAATGAAATTGGTGCAAATTTATTAAATAATTCTTTAAGTCAAGACCAAATCCATGATCGTAAATGTAGGCGTAGTCGTGGACAAGAACATAGTAGAGATTTCAGAAGAAATAGTAGATAAAGGTAATATTATTTGTTGATAATAATTTTCTGTTGCTTCAATTCCTGTTTAAAAACATCATATTTTTACCTTTTAATTAGTATTATATGTAAACATAACGGAAAAATATTAGTATAATTGCTTAATATAAATATTGTGATATAATAATAAATGCTATTTTATATTAACATAAATTGCTTGTAAACAGTAATTGCAAAATGGCTTTCTATATTAATTTTTTATATTATAATATATAGTACAAATAATTGTGATATGCATTATATATATATATATAAAAATATAATAAAATATGATGAAAATTATCTATAAAAATACATTGTGATTGTATAATTTACAAATGCTTAAAAATAATACATGTTTATAATATCTTTTACAATATA